GCTGTTATCTTTATACATTTTACATTTCAGAAAATAGAAATTGAGCACTGCATGTTTGGAAAATGCTTTGTGATGTTTTCTGTGACTTTTTTTAATTCATTCAGCACTGGTTTTGTGGTAAACTTAATGTAATTTAAAATAAAATATCTTTTAATTGTTTCACATTTTGTTTATTTGTAAATTGAAATTTTCATTTTTTTTTTTTTAAATTTTACCTCCCTTTATTTTGATGCTACAAATTTAATTCTTTACTCTTTACAGATTAAAATTGTGAAAGGAAGAAGCAAAACTCGTCTGATGTCTGCCCAAATATAGGTTAATTAAAATTTCTACATTAAAGTTTTTAAATTGTCAGATTTCAAATACAGAATTCCACATATATTACAGGAGTGGCGTTTTCTCTGTTTTAACAAATAAAGGAAATTAAATAATTAAAGTAAAACAATGATGTTTTCCAAAAACAGATTCGAAAAAACATATAATTTTCTGCTAAATTACCATCTAATCTATAGAGGGTTAATTGATGAACAGCATATAGATGATCATTATGACCAGAGATTCTCTGTTACATGTTAGATTCTAAAGCTTCTAAAATATTATACAAGAAACAAAAACCATCCGCTAATCTTTAATATTTTCCAGGATACATTTAAATATAAACATATGTAAAACATTCTACAAGTTAGAAACAGAAACATTCGATTTTTTCACTTATTTTTACAGTAATTGGGTTTAAACAATACACATAGCAAACATGACTTTCAACCAACACAATATATCAATACGTAATGCTTACATTTTAGTTTATATAATAATTACACGTGTTCATCATCTAATTCTCATTTATCCTACATTTAGAATAAGATTTAAAATTAGATTTTGACTTCCATCCATAGCAGATATAATATTTATTTTTTAATCTACAATTCGAAATTTATTAAGTTCGAATTTTAAAATTTCAAATATTGCTTCACATGATGAAAAAATTTACGCAAAATCTCACCAAATTTTTTTAAAATACCGATGAAATGAAATGAGTTAAATTAATAAAATACTTTATAGAGTATGAAAACATGATAATAACTTATATGTAGAAATTCTGATTAATTTAAGTCAAATGATAAAATAAATTTAATAATAATCTTTATTATTATTATTATTATTATTATAATTTTTATAGATTTGACGACGGATTTGTGGTGTTTTTATTCACATCCAATTTGACTTTTATCCGGTCCAATTAATTCGTTTTAGCATAATCCAATTCGAGAAAGTAACTTTTTAATCTCTAAATAAAAATAAAAAAAATAATAATAATTTTAAGAAACTATAAAAAAATTATTTGTTTCAAAAGGAAAAATAATTTTATATACATTATATTTAAAATTTTTCATTTGATTGTGAGTCAAAATGTCTTCTTTATCGCTTAGTTTCGCTACAATCATGGATAATATCTCGCGTACATCTGCAACTCCTTTACTTTTCTTTATAAAGAAAAAAAAAAATAGTCAAAATTATAATAAATTGTAACGGAGAGAAATTATATAATAAAAACAAAATACGTGTTCGTCCAAAATTTCAAGTAAATTTTTCAAAATTTCATTCCATATTTCGTAAATTACAAATTTGACTCCCATTTTAGTCAAGTTATGATTTAAAAGTTTAATGTAATCATCTATAAATTTTTCGAATATACAAAATGCCTGAAAATTTTAAAAATCGTCATTTCAAAACTTTAATGTACAGTAAAACTTGTCGAAAACGAAACCCGAATAAAATAGGAAAACGGGAGAAGTTTTGGGTGCAGTACCTTAACCACCTGAATAAAGCAAAAAAGACTAAGATTCCACTTGTGGACAAAAAATGAAATCGCTTCCAGATATAATGGCCATCGCAGAGAATGGCAATGTATTCTGTAAACAAAGGAAGCTGTAGGATTTGATAGGCCAAAATCAAAATTTATCTTTGAGCTCCACTAAAGGAGAGATGATTGATTATTGGCTTAAGGCAACTCAAAACGTGGGCGATCTGCCAAGGAGAAGATGCCTCCCATGAGTTCTTTTATGGGAAATTGGTCTCTATTTAGGTGTTAATCTAATCAAATCCACATTATATTAGAAAATAAATCATACTCACGTTCTGTTTCACTTTTCCAGGTTTAGAATTAATTATGTTTTGTATCATTTCACACGCTTGCAATTTAGCCTAAAATAAATAAACATTATTTTAAAAACTGTTTTGTCGATCATTTCAACTAAAAATCGGTATTACCGATTGAATCGCGTATTTGCTGCAGGATAACATTTCAGATTTTGCCTTTGCTATTATGTTTCTTAATGGACCCGTTAAATATTTTCTAGATTCTGTAGTTAATTTATTTGTTAGATCCTTTTCAATGACTTCAATGACATTTTCAATACATTTCGTTATTTCTGTCATATTATTGATTATTAAGCGCATCTGAAAAAAATATAGTTCAAATATAAGGGCGTGTATCCTAAAAATCCGCAGAAATTTTAAAGTAGTTTAAATTTATTTTAAAATAAGGCTTTTTTTTTTTTTTTTTGGAGTACAGATAAATTGTTTAATGTTCTAAACAGCGATGTTCTTGACGTTATTATTATTATAAAATTGAATATTTTCTTTTAGTTTTTGAATTAACTAACTTTATTACCTCGTTGGATACATTAAGATTGCATTTATAAAGAGGTATGTGTTCTTTCTTGATCTTTCTCAACATTCCATCATAGTACTCAAGAATGCAGTCATTTAAACACTAACATGATATTAAAAAATTACTTTTAGAATTAATTATATGCGGTTTCCATTTAAAATAAAAAGCTTAATTTTCTTACATTAATCATTATTTCGATGGCAGTTACATCGGTCCAATCCAATTCTTTCCAAAATCTTATAACCTATTACATTTAAAAGACAGTATGAGGTTAATATTATTCATCTACAGTTACACGGAGTCATCTTAAATAAATATCTTCAAACTTTCCGTAAGGGATTAGCTATAACCAGTGGTGATATTCAGCGGGTTCGCACAGGTTCGGCCGAACCTGNGTAAGTTAAGTTTTAGTATCATTTCCCTTCTCCCTCACCACCATTTTACACCGCCACCATCGTCTATCCTCAAAAGTAAAGTGCAAATAAAACTACATTTTTTTTATCAATTATTATTCTATTATGGTTATTTATACATTTACAACTACAAAACGCATTTTTCAGTGTTTTCCTTACTATAGTTTTTTTTTTTTTTTTTTAATGTACTACTTAGCTTTAAGTGTTTTTCGTGTTGGAACGAATTATTTGGTTTTACATGTAATCGTATGGGGAAAAACGATTCACCTTACGACATTTTCATGGTACAATCTGAGTTTAGGAACGGATTAATTTCATATCCTGAGGTACCACTGTAGATATAAATCATTCTAATCTGTTAAGTTCTTGTAATCTGAGATTAATCTTTTAATACAAGAAATATTTTCATTCAAACTGTTAGCTATTTGAACTAAGCAGTTACTTTGTTTATTTAACTTCAAAACTTTCAATTGTTATAAACTAATTCATTCATAGTTTTCATTTATCAACAATTTTATTAAATTACTTCCTATTTCAATAGAAATATATTTAATTATATGTAGTAAACATATCAACTAACTGAATAAGTAAAGAAACATTGTATAAATGGTTATACAAATAATTTATTTTGTATAAAATTTGCATTTAATCAGTGCATTTATCGTATCACAGCCATCATAATCTTTATCATCATATGTTACAAGAATATCAATAAAATACATCAATTTAAGGAAACCAAAGTTTAATGGAGAAACACTTTCAGACTTTCATTTGGACAGACTTTAGTTCATGGTAATGATAGTGTGGGATAAACACAAATATACATATTATCATAGGTTTATCATTGTATACTGTACAGCAACACACGACACAAACAAACTGCCGAGAGAGATGCCAACCAGGAGGACTTCCTATAGAAAAATCGGCCCCTATTTAGACGTTATAAAAGTTAAGAAAACCCAAAAAACTCCACACAGCCAGCCTACTGGCAAGACACAAACCTGTGATAGGTGTTTAGCAGTTATATCCGCTCAGCCACTGTCACAGATACAAACATTGCAAAGAAACAACAGTTCATAAAGATCATCTTACGATTCTAATTACCATTATTAAAATTATAATGGTAATTAAAATTACACAATTAACTTTGCAACTTTACACAAAAGGCAACCATCTCCAACAGTATCAATAAATTTAATGTAAAAATCAAAGAAAATCCACTTTACCCACTTAAAACCCGTGCAACATAGTCAATGAACTTGCAACTAACATCTGGATATAGAAAGGGTATAAATAGTAGCTTCAATTATTGTAACTTATCAAACAGGTGCATGGACTCATGCCCAATGTACATTATCAATGCAACAATACTGATCAATGCAAGAATTACCTCATATCAGCAGTAATTCCAAAATCGCCAGATTTTTTCCCAGGATGATCTCTAGGGTTTTCAAGGTTGTCTAATTTCTGGGTTAAACCTACAATTAAATAACGGTTAAAGTTAACATGTTTTGACGTAATTAAGTATTGCAGTGTGTATATAATCGAAAAATAACGCATATTCACCTCTTCTTGTTCTGTTTAATACATTATAAGGTCCTTTGCTCAATGCATACATCACTAGCTTCCTTTCCTTTCCTGGCAGTGATTGGAACTCTATCGAACGTCTCACACCGAAATGCGACCTCTACAAATTAAGTTCGTTAAATTTATAATATTTGAATTTTAAATAATTATATTATACTTTTTATGATATTAGATTTTAATGAATTAATAAATTATAAATACTTTCCAATAAATTATATAAATTAAATAATTATAACAGGATTAATTGATCGTTGAAATTTGTTAAAATTCGCTTCGTTTCGGCGTTCTGAAAAATTTCGTTTAGATTCTAGAATTTTCTAGGTGAATAAATATAATTAAAATTATTATAGGTAAATACAAATTAACAATGTTAACCACGTTTTGTTTAACACAGATTTACAGTTATAGTATATTGACGAGGTGACCGGATGACCATGCGTCGGAATCAAATCTCGGAGCAACACTTGGAATTTTTCGTGAGTGGTATGTTCTAGATGTGTCGGGTCCCGTTCCTCACCATTTAGTTCAATTGTGGGTCTGGCCGATCCGTGGTGGGCCTGAAAAAAGGTCCTTTTAGTGCCCATTAAGACAAAAAGAATCGAAAATAAATCTATCAAACAGTTTTCTGTTTCGTAATCCCCGTATAAAGAAAACATAATTGAAACAAACCACGATCACAGAACAGACACGTGCAAGACTTCTTTGTAGCCTATAGCGCGTGCTCTCTTCTCGCAAACTTTCAATTGAGCATGAGCGTCGCCCATCGGCGCCCGAAAATACCAATTGTTGGATCAGAGTCATCAAAGGAACCGCCTACTTTTCGTCGAAGGGTATGACATAGAGTGAAGTTGAGCCGATGATCGACCCTGCAACGATGGAACGAATTTCATTCGATGTCACCTTCGATCAGTTTGCTTCTATATTATTCATTTTGCGCCAGGCTTTTTTTTTGGGACTAGTCTATCCTGGATATCTTCCCGTTCCTCACCGCTTGGCAGCCCCATTGTGGGCCTGCCCAAACACATGTTCAGATTAGCAAAAGAACCCCAACAAAGGTCATAAAGTAAGAAACAAGAGTTTATTTCGCGATTTCTGTTACACAATTGTAATAACCGCAATGCTTTAACCAATCTCAAAACTAAGGCGAAGGAAATAAAAGGAAGGAAGAAGAAACGAGAAAGGTCAATGTCGGAAAAATACCTGTAAGCTCCGAAGATGGTAAAACATGGCGATATCGTGTTTTCGTCAGTCGATCCTTCTTCTCGTCATCGAAATTTTTAAACGTGATACCGTACTACACGTGCAAAAATGTGTCCGTTTCCTTCTATCTGTTTTATAGCTATATAGCCCTTCACTCCCGCTGAGTTTGTTACCCCCTCTGGGCACAAAAGCCAGAAAGACAAAAGAGAAAGAACATTCCAGAAAACAAACAATGACTAAAAATATAAGAAGACATGCCAGGTGATTGTCACATTTGAATTTTACGGTTTTAAAATTATAAAATTAAAAACAATGAGGTCAGTTATTAAATAAGTTAAAATAATAATTCTAGAAAAAGGTATATTTCTAGAAATATACCGTTTTTAGAATTATGGTTTTAAAATTATTTTATCTTACAATTTTATTAACTCATTGTACATTGAGAGAGGATTTTTCTGTATCACATTGTGGCCAGGTAAACAATGGCGAGGAGCAACAAATTATTATTACTAATTATTCGATCCGAAATCGAACTCTGATCCTTCAGAGCGGCAGGTGGTATCTTTACCTTTTTAATAACGCGACAAGGGACCAGTTTTCTTCAAACTGGATTCTTTTCTGTTTAAGGTGTTACCTATAACAACAGCTTAAACAGAATCGGTGTATGTAAAAAAATTTACGTGTAATAAATTCGGGAAAATAAAAAAGATTTTGAATTATAATTCTATTTAAAAGAGTCGTTTATAATTAAACGTGTAATAAATTAAATTCTGTATTAATTACATTATTTTTCTTAAAAGTAAATATTTTTAATGTTATATTAGAGTAAATTTATATGTCCCATTTGTAATTAATCTTCCCTTAAAGGGTATGCTTTTACCCTTTGAAACTTTGACTTTAATCTTAAAGTACAAACTGATATATTGATAACCGATAACAAAACGAAGTTTACAATAAGTTTTTATTTTTAAAATTCAATTGATTAAATACGTTTTATTAGAATTTAGTGCCATGAGATGCTATATTTTACAAATGTTTACATAACAATACTTTGACAAATAAAAAGTTACAGTAGAAATCATAATTATTGGCCTCAGAATGTATCAATAGAATTTTTAGAAAATACTGTAGCAATAAGACATTTAAAATGAAAAAAACTAACTTCAATTACTAGAAATTTCTTTAATTATGGAAAATTTAATTATAGTAAAAAGAGAAATTTGAGATTTTAAAGCATTTTTATCTTAAACTCCATAAACTTAATTTTCTATTTGATATTTGGTTTTATTTTTATTGTATAGTATATTATAAATGTTTATTATTTAAGTTAATATCAATAATTAATAATTTATGGTTATTTTTTTTCCAAGGAACTAATAGAAATGACGAATCAAACACAAATTTAGCCTATGGTGGAAGAGTACAATACAAGGATTTACACTCTTCCAAGTTATTGGAAGCGTATAAATCCTTATATTCATTAAGTAAATAAATGACAAATACATAGGAGAAACCGGGGCAAAACAGAATTCTCTATAGTTTTGATCAGTGGTATAAACTAGTTTACACCGTCATAACAGACTCTACATGTCTGCACTGTCGAGGTTATATTGTGGCACAACCTTGTGGATAAAACCACTGAACACTCAGTGGCGTAGCGTAGTGGGGGAGGCAGGGACGGACCGCCTCGGGGGCACTTTTAGGGGGCGGCAAAATTTCACAATAAATAATAATAATATCTTGTAAAAATTTAAGCCATTTCATTTCATATTTTTTGTCGCACCTACGATTCGGACCGATTGAAATGAGCACGGAATTTTTCATTATTTATTCTGTGACGAAACTGAATTTTAGTCTTTTAAATTGAGATACCTAAATAAGGGGGCGGATGACACCCACGCTACGTCACTGTGAACACTGGTCGTGGATTCTACCTCGTCAACGAGCTGGTCACGTGAAGTTTTCCGGATTTTCTTCACGTTAGTAACACCTAAATAGGGATGATTTTTCATTAAATGCATCGCCCAATTGTCGCGTTGCCGTAAACAAATAAACCAAACCAAACGCTTGTAACGCATTGCAAAGGTTATCTACAAACCCACCCACCCATATCCAAGTTACGTAATTTATGGACAGCCCCATACATGGTAAATGTTTTATATAATAGAAGCAAATAAGATATTTTCTTCATGACAGAGCTGCCAACTTTTCACGTTATTTGCCTCAACTTGTGGCAGATAACGCTTTAATTGTTATTAGTATTAACCAGTGCTTTAACTGTTAAATGTCATTGTTCGTATACAATAGTTCAATCGTTTTCTTACATAAATTCTACAAAACTGTAGCTTAACAGTAACTGGATAAATTATTATTAATTAACACACTGATAAGGGCTAGTTTTTCATAGAGTTACTCACAGAAAGTCATCCCTCTCGCCTATTTGTTGCATTGCTATTTAATCAAACCAAACGAAGTGGGTATATAAATGCCATAATAAATAATAATGCTTTGCGTTTCCTAATGAATAATTATATTTGATAATTCCAATTAAGAATTTCGAAAATAAAATAAAAAATTTTCCAGATAAGAACAGCCATTTAGTATGTTTATACTGTATACATAAAGCACTTACCATTTTCTGTATGGTTCTGTTTCCTATTGTAGAGAACTTTCAGCAAATTCTAGGCAAATAATATACAAACTCTACATTTTATGGTAATTTTCTTTATTATAGACCAGTTTTTTTTAAATAAAATGTAACTGTAAAATTATAATAAAAAATTATGCTTGGAAGTTTGTATCAGGAAGTTTCCGTCTCATATCTATAATAGACTATCACGTGTCAGGAAATGAAATCTGCAGATTTCCCTTTCATTCTAACTGGAATTTTTGTGTTTACCTGTTTATTTTAATATATTTAATTTGATTTTATTTTTCTCTAGAAAAATTTAAAATTGCACTAATGTTATCCGATGTTAATTTGAGTAATGAGATCCATAATCTTAGAAATATTATAAAATTTAAGTGTTGTTGCTTGTTATATGTGTAAAAAATAATTATAAACAGTCTTCATTGTATTTAAACATTGATTTATTTAAATATAATCAAGAAAAAACTGATTATAAGTGCTTTTACTAAGTGCCATTTTCCTTGAATGGTTAATTTAATACATAATGGCTTATGTGTTGCTCCGAAAATTTATCGTATTTCACAATTATTTAGGCCTGTATGGTTATTAAACCTAAAATAAAAAAAAGAAAGTTATAATTTCGGCTAAATTTTACATAATTAAAATTAACAATTAATCGACGGTTTCGNAAAGTTTCTGTTAGCGAACCCTTTGTTAAATATTTCGAATATCACCACTGGCTATAACAAGATGAATGACAATGTAAAACAAACTCACTTTGTCAAATATGATACTGTTTAGGTGTTTAGTTGGTAGTCCCGATATAACAGATTGGCTGAGAATATTCACCTAAATATATTGGATAAAATAAAAATTAAATGGATCACAATGCAGGACTGCAATTTTTAATCATATTTTTAATTTAGTTTAATTTAAATTAAAAATATGATTAAAATCTCCACTTCAAATTAGTACTATAGTGTATTGTCCGTGTACAATATACTTTTCTGTTATCAATAGCAATGGAGTCGTGCCAGTCAGCTATCTAACTCCTTTCAGGGGAAGTTTTGAATTGAAATAACGTGACTTTCCGGTTCTGACTAGAAGTTTATATATAGTTAATCCGGGTCTCCTGTCCCTAAGCTCTCTATACCTTGATTTTTATGTATCTAACTCCGTTCTCGAGATAAAGGAAGGGAAGACGGACGATTGACAGTGAGAATTTATGTCTCTAATTTATTTAAATTGCAGCCAAATAAGAGAAAACTGATGTAAAACTTACGTAATTTTTTTCGATATTATTTCGAATCAAAATTTTAGCCTCCCGTGCTACCTGATTAAACCAAGCTTTTAGAATTTCATCTCCGAACCAATTGCAGAAATTTTCCATTTCTAAGCGTGGTCTGTTCCTAGAATAAATTGTAAACTAACTTGTAAGATTTATAATAATTTAATTAATACTATGATTATTTTAAGACTTGACTACTTACTGTACATTTTCAATATTTCGTAGGGTATTCTCTATAAGTTGCTTTAACATGAAATATATTCGAAGCATCTTCTTCAGTTTGTCTTGGTCATTATTCATATATGAAATTCTTACGTGTCGTTCTATTAGTTTGTGACATGTCTTGTACAACTGAAAGATAAAATATAATGTTGTAAATTCAGCATAGTCTAATTCTAGAGTGCTGTATTCTATAGACTTACCAGTACATTTAGGTTAATATAAACATGTTGGCTGTAAGTCATATTACCAAATACACTAAAAAATTAAAGAAATATTATAATACTTAATCATTGAACATAAAATAATTTAACGCTAATAATACTTCACAAAAGTTTCGTCTAATTTTTGGTGATTATGTCGTAGAACTTCTAAGACGTGTTCCAGTTGTTTCAATTCTTCGTCGCTCTAAAATAGGATAAAATTAATTATCAATGACGATTTAAGAAAAAAAAAATGTATTTTAAATACAGTAGAAGTTCATTAATCTGGCGCCCGAGACTTAAATTAATCTGGAATTGCTTTATAATAATGCAACATGCTAGTATACCGCGAATAGGAATTTGTTTGGTCAGGAAGTGCACTAAACACCATAGACGGAATACAGAACATCTTGTATAGATCGCTTCATATAAAAGTTTTGAAAAGTTCAAAAATCTTTTTTGGTAATGCACGGTGATTTTGTCACAGATTCGTCAAATAATCCATTCTCTTCACTAAGTAAATAGACTGATCTCTGATAATGCGCATTTTTACATCCTAGATTCGAAAAATGGGCTGTATGTATCTAGAAAATAAATATTGGAAAATAAACGTGTTCCTTAACGTTTTTACAGGTTTTTAAGTCAATCTTAACGCAGTATACTATGCATTGTATTCGGTTTTCAGACTGATTAGAACCTGTAAACAAATCAGGAGCACACAGCAGTGTGTGCTGATAAATAATATATGTCAATGTTTGCCCTTTTGGATCTCAATATAACTTATCAAATTTTGCTAAAATACAAAAAGTCTGATAATCAGACAACCACTATGGTCCCTTAGGCTCCGAATTGACAAGCTTCTAATGTACTAATTACTTACGTCTTTCTTCGCCCATATCGATCTTAGTAATAAACAATTATATTTTTCGGCATTTTGCTGTAAATAAATTATTGTATTAAGCTTATTAATGAGATGCATGATAAATATGCAATGTACTATTAACACATAATAATAATTATTATTATATAAAAGAATTGCTTGACTATATTAAAAACTGAATGAGATATTAATTAGAAGAAATTCAAAAAAATTAGGCTGTACGCCTTGTTACCAGACACTAGTGTAACCAGAGGGAGCTTGAAGAACCGGGCCTTCTCTTATCTTTGTAAATAAATAAATAAAGAATAATTAAGTGCAAGGAAAACATTTGTGTGACAAACGCACTTACGTACATGTATACACAATGATACACGATGTCATTGTGTACATGCTCTTAGATGTAGTCACCTGTAGTCTTAGATACAGTATCTAAGATAATGCAATGCCATATCAATACAATAACGTGTGTAGGCCTTGGTATAACGCTTTGATTTAGTCACCAGAGCTGTGGATGAAGAGCTAGAAGCTCTTCATAAACAGCACTGGTGACTACATCCACAATGGTGCAGAGATGGATGCAGTTTTGAAGGTTCTAATTCGAGCCGCCCTTAATACCGTTTCTGGTTACTTTATTTGACTTATTATTGCAACTGTATACAGTAATTAAGACCAATATTGAAACATTGATATTTACCATTATAAACAATATACGTTTATCAAAACAAGGCGCTGATAATTGCAATTAGAAACCAATGTCTCGCCAAACCAATATATTGATACATAAAGCAGACTGCCGGATGGCCGAGCGGTCAAAGTGGCAGCCTACCGCTCTGGGGGACCCGGGATGGAATCCGGACAGGTCAAAGAATCTCCAGGAATTTTTCGGGGAGTGGTCCGTTCGGATATGTCGGGCCCGTCCCTTACCACCCGGTCGCTCCATTGTGGGCCAGGCCGAACCGATAATGGGCCTGCTTTAAGAGGCCCTCTTAGTGCCCACAGGGCGGAAGGAGTAAAAAAAAAAGTATATATAAAGCAGATGAAAGATCTGGACTTCATACAGTCGAACCTTCAATAACGGCCACCTCTAAACGGTGGCCATGCTTTTTTTTCGTCAACGATTTTTGAATTGAAATTACGTGCTGGTCTAGGCAGGAAGTTCGTATGTAGCTAATTGGGACCTATGGTCTCTAAGCATTCCACATCTGGTCTCGATTTTCATTTATTTAACTCTATTCCCCATATTAACGAAGGACGGACGGACGAATGTATAAGTCTGCAATTTTCAAATTGCAGCCAAATAATGTTTATGCTTTTGTGGTGATACTATTGTGTTTTAGTAATTTAGATTACTTTCCAAATAATTAAGAAATTGTAATTTTTTTGGCAATTCTATCAGCAAAATTAATTAACCTGTTTGATGCTTAATAATTCCTGTGCTTTTCGTCGAAAATTTCTGAAATTTTGAAGGGAGATTTGTCTATTAGGGGGATTGATGCTATTAAATTTTGTTAGTTAAAGGTCGAGAGTGTGGGGAAATAAAGAGTGTCGGGTGCATCTCTAGTATCTCTAGCATAATGACGCTTTTACTCGTTATTAGTATTTACAATTTTTTATCAAACCTATCTATATCCCCAAAATTAATCATTTTTAATTTTACAGTTATTGAAAATGTAAAAAGTTTTTAAAATGGCGCCACAAAATGTTGCCGGAAAAGTTAAGCAACTCGTTGCTGGATTTTTGAATAAGTTAACAAGAGGGGTTTCCGATATAGATGGACCTTTGCTAATTGTCTTTGGCCTGTTTTTCCTTCAAGTAATCTTCATCAATAAATACATTGAAAAATTGCATTACTTAGCAATGTAAGTTTAAATTATTCTTAATATTTTGCATTTTTTAAAGATCTAAGTGAACAAATTCTCGAGAAATTTTTCATGATTGCCAAGCCCGTTCCTCTATCATCTGAGCCTGGCCGAACCCACGATGGATATGATACAATATAAGAAAGAAATGTTCGTATACGAACATTTCTTTCTTATATTGTATCATATATTGTTCTTTGTTATATTTGTTATATTGTATTATATTGTTCTTTGTTGTTGTTTCGACAACAACAACAAAGAAATGTTCATTATCTACGATTTTTTCCGCTAATGGCAGTATTAGAATATCAATGTAAGTAATCTAGAACAGTGTTTCCACAAAGCGTGTTCGGAGGTAATCCAAAATGTTGAAATATGAAATAGCGAAAAAGCATGAATTTCATCATTATAATTTAAATAAAATGTCTTATTACGTATTTCTGCATGCTACACGTGAATTTGGTCAGTTACTACGATGGAAATTGTCTTATAAGCGCGAGATGGAAGGTGGACTTCAAAATAAAACTACAGATNTTTAGCTATTCTTTTCAATATAAATATAAATACCTGAAGTGCGAACTGTATTTCCTCTGTCATATAGCAGTTGAATATACTTAAAGATTTTAAAAATCTGCAGAAAAGATATAAGAAACAATTATGGTTATATTAAAAAAAATAATTGAATGTTCATATAACAGTCATTATAAAATATTTAAGCGTTACTGTAAAAAAGGTCGCAGTAGTTCGACATCTATTTTCTCTTCAAACCCCATAAATATATGCATCTGATCAAGTCTAGCGATGGAATTATTTACCATGCATTTCATTTCGTCCAAAAATATCTTATCCATAAAAGAATCAGGTTCTATTATGCTATCTCTAATTGAGTTTATTTTGTTAAGAAAATTCGTCATAAGAATATAGTTATACCGTATTCTATATTTTCGTAAGAGCCGGCTGATACATAACCAGATACTGGAAATATTACATAAAATAAACTTTAAATAAATATATATATAAATGGAAACAATATATTATAAAGATTGTAAATTTCACTCCTCATATTAAATGAATAGAGACTATTTTATATTCGAAGTCTGAGTACGCTTTGAAAGTAACTTATCAACGTAATATTCGCCATGTATGAACATGTATTAAGTAGCAATTACTATTTAGTGGTTATTACCAGATGTAATGATTTAACGGAAACAGATTGGACTGGATGGCATGTTGTTTGAGGATAGTCCATTCTTCTGGATGAAATAATTCCGGAAGGTGCAATGCACTGTTTACGTCAATCTAAAAAAATTAAATTAATTTAAATATGTTTAAAATTACTGTAAATTATACAGTATACTCGGGCGGATGACCGTGCAGTTAAGGCATCGCCTACTGCTCTGGCAGCCCTCAAAAATCTTTCAAATTGCGGGCCTGGCTGAACTCACGGTGGGTATGATTAAAAAACTATTTTCATTATGCCCATACTCAAAAGTAAAAAACAAAAATGTATATTTACATCTTTATTTGTTAGATGTTTTTGCAAGAAGAATTTACATATTTTGATGTGATCACCAATAGAGATTACTATATCTTTGTCCGTGTCAGATCGAATTTTCATGTCGATAATTATTTTCCCACCAGTTTCTATTCCATTTAAATTAAGTTTTAGTACTTTTGCATTATTGTTTAAGTCACCTTCTTCGTTTACAAACGGTATTTCCTGCAAGAACAATAGCGTTAAAATATTTACAATAAGAATACTTGATAAAATACATTTTTGCAATTTTGGACTCGGGATATTGAAACGTCGAGAAATGCAAAAAAGTCCGGTTTTTTCTGTTTCTATGGAAGTGTTTTTGTTACCCACTTTTGAAGCTTTATTAAGCTTCAAAAGTGGGTAACAAAGTGGGTAAGCTCCTGTACCTTTTGTCGAAAATTTCTGAAATTTTGCAGGAAGGTTTGCATATTAGGGAATTTGATGTTATTAAATTTTCGTGGTTAAACATCAAGTGGGTGGAGAGATAGAGGAAAATGTTGTTACAAAATCAGTCATTTCTCTCGACCTCATTGATCCAGTGGCCAAATGGATAAAATTGCTGAACAGTGGTTAATCGTGGGTCGGCATCCCACCAACGGGCTGTTGTATGGAGTTTTTCACATTTTCTTCGCATATCTAAAAATTAAATAGAGTCTACGTTTCTCATTAAAAATTCTCCCGTGTGACACCTTCTGGGCAGATTGCCCGTGTGTTGCGTTGTGTCATTCTATCAATCGTAAGAGCCTAAGATCGACTTCCCGACATGTAGTAAAATACATGGCTCCACCTCCCACCTTTAACTCGATGACCAAAAAAATTCCCATTTGTAAAATACTATCATGCTAGATTATTATCCGACAAAATCAAATTATTATTAACGAACTTTTACTATATTTAGTCCTCTTTTTCTTCGCTTCAAAGCCCAGAGTTTCTATATGACATAGGCCTACCTGAATTTGGATAGTAGTCACGCCGATCAAATCATCCGAACATATTCTGGGATTTGACTTTTTAATTTTAAAACATCTATTTTCGAAAAGAATATTTTGTCATATTTAAACTCATTAACTATCGTCCAAAAAAAGAGTCAAATTAAAATCTTACCGAAGCAGTGAATAGATGCGTTTTTGTCTCGTTTCACAATCCCTTAACATTGTGACACTTGCATTCCTAAATATTGATTAAAAATTTAGCTTTTAATATCGTCAATTATTATTATACTTCTTTAAACTCACCAAATCTCAATTGTCAACGCGTCTTCATTAATAATATTCTTACTAAGAATACAAAATATTTCGATTATTATTTTTAAATATTTTCAAAACACTGTAAATGCTAATAAAAGTAATTGCAATATTTGGATATACAAGACAAATTCTTCATCCCAATTTGGATCCACGCTGGCAACCACCACTTTGCTAGTCTTCACTTTATTCTGATGAATCCATATTTTGCAGAAGGGATTGGTTTGATCTGAAAATTTTTACTAGTCAGATAGCATAAATACTAGTCGCAGTATTAATTAACCTTTATACATCACCTTTTATATTCTTCGATTTTAAATTTAAAGCTTCTATAACCTTAACTTCTAGTTCATATTTCTGATTCGGTACAAGAAATGACAATACAGCAAATATTTTATTATTGTTTTTGCGTATATCTACATTTTATATTTACCAATGAAGTTTGGAGCCTCTTAGATATTTTTAGTGAAACAGACTTTGCCATTCTTTTGCAATATTCTCTAAGATATTTCTTGGGACACAGGTGAGACCCATATGGCATGCCAACGTAACATTCCGAAACTCGAAAACATATGGGAAATATCTCTCGCAACTTATATTTGTTTAAAAAATATTAATTAAACATACGATTTTCTATAAAGTATACATACATTATCGTCTTGAAAAGTTAACCTACCATCGTGTCTGAATCTTTAACCTCTCCCACTATTCTCTGCACATATTCCAGTTTCTTCTTGTTTATTTTAGGCATATTTGTATTTAAGATGTACAATATCATAAACTAGGAAATAATTTTGTTTTNATTATTAATTTTAACAATTTCAAACTAACCTCCAAAATGATTCTAACAATTGAAAGAATTATAAATTGTATGTTTGGACTTCAAAATCTATTGTTATATATTATTACTAATTAACATAATGATTAAATATTGATTTATTACACAGTAATTAAATTTTTACAGAGGAGCATCCAGAGGGGCCAAAGAGCCCTAGCACCTTCAAAAGAAAAAAGGAGGGGGAAAAACACTAGAAAATTTTTTCTAAGTAAAATTTATTTTTAAAAACTAGTTTAAATGTTGTCGTTCTTCTACTTCTATACTACTTATGCATTAGCGGTCACTAGGACCGTGGAAAAGTAGGGGCAGAGGAGTTCAGATGTCCATGTCCAAGATGATGAGGAGCCAAAATTCCAAAATTATTAATAAATAATTCAGAGAAAAGTGTCACATGAGAGCATATAAAATTATATTGTCACCTGTACTGGTATCAGAAGAGCGATCTTTTAATAAATTAAAGTTAATAAAAATTATCTGAGATCTTTCTTCAGCTAAGAACGATTAACTGAGTCGTGTTCAATATAGCAGAATTCTTGCTAATTCTAATTATGTTGCGATGCTGAACTCGTTTCTAACATATACGCTTAAAAATCAAAATGGTTCGACTACGATGCTTACTACTAGTAAAGAAAAAACATTTGCTATTAGGATTACTTCATAATGAACACACACACAAAAGAAAAAGAAAACGAAGATACGGTGTTCCCAGAGCCGGCACTAGAATTTATGTCGCCCGGAATAAGACTTGTATTTGACGCCCCTTATCCCCACTATATAAAACGAAAAACAAAATTTTAATGCCTTATCTATTAGAAGTAGGAAGAAATTTTTTAATATTTTTAAATTTTAATCTTATTTAAAATATTTTAATTTCACTTACAATAGTTTCACGTTAGTTTAGTTATTTTACTCACGAAAACGAAAAGGTTTAACTAAGAAATGTTAAAAATGCACTTAATTAATAAGCTTCCTGGTCTGCAAATTCTTTAACAAATTCCTTGAAATCTAAATTTTTGCCAACTCGTGTTCCATTGAAATAGTTGTCAAATCACCAAGTCGTAGTTCAATTTAATTTTCAATTAATTTTAATTTGGAGAAGCTTCTTTCAGAGCCTCCCAACACTTACTGGTAATGTTAATAAAATTCTCAAAGCCACTAATACGCTCGGGAATAAATCATATTGATTTACATAACTCAATACTTCTAAGGATGTGCATCGTTTCTTAATTAAACTAGATAAAAACAACTAATTCATCTGCTAGTTCTATACATCTATATGACTTACTGTTTTCGCGGTCGGTTGAAATTCTAATGAATGTTTTCAGCACTGTTATCTACTGTTGTCAACGCAATTTGAATAGTCTAAAAAAGTTTACAAGAAAAACAAAACACCGTATTGTTTATAGGGGAATATATTTACCACGATCTTTGCATTACTTCACTCTTGGTCTTTTGTAATACGATGGTTTAAAACAGCAATAATTACTGTCTGGAAAATTAAAATGTATTTTCTTCATCAGAATTACCAATTTGCATCCGTCTCTTCTCTACCATGAACAATCTAAATGAATTATTATCTCAGGCCATTCTACAGGATCGTATGAAATTTTACTTCCTTGAGTTTCTCTAGTGACGTTAGTGCTTATAAATTCTTATGATTCTGTATTTTGTTTCCCTTCCAACACTTCGGAATTTCTATCGTTACGTTTTTCTCATTAGTTTCTCGACTTGTGAAGTTGAAGTAACTGTTTCACCTACACTAAGATGTTAAGAGTTTACTCGAGGAACAAATCATTTCTTCATATATGCGTCTTTTTCAATTTTATTTTGCGGTAATGAGGCCACGACGACCGTTTTCTTCCGTATCCCGACATAATTAATGATATTTGTGAATTTAAATGATATTTAATTATTTAAAACAAAAACTTCTACAAGAATTATACCTTTTGTGACGACATGAGACAGCCTAGTAACGACGTGAATTTGAGCGCACACGAGGAACTTGCTTAGTCAACCAATATTCAACTCGTCCCGTGTAATATAAAAAATATTTTAAAAAATAAAACGTCTGAAAATTTTGTATAAATTTATGAAAATTTGCCACCCTCGTCATGTTCCGCCCTGGGCAAATGCCCTGTTTGTCCATGTGGTAACATCGCCTGCGTAACAAGGACCTACATGCACTCCAATGGCCATATTTCTTCACAGCTTAGTATCAACTAGAATGATGCAAAACATACTGATCGAGAATCTTACAAGTGTCGTCTGAAGAAGTTAATTAAACAAGATCTCCGAAATTATTTTACCACTTCCTATGTCTCCATAATTGCTCCATCTTGCTGAAGTCATGACTTACCTCATGAGTTCAGCAAGATTGGGTGGAAATGTTTACAAATTACGTAACGCTAGAATCTCGACTCTTGAGTAACCGAATGATTCATTTTTATTTCTGAAGTATTATATGGCAAATTGTACAGTACTGTTTATGTCACTGCTTTGTACCGTACGTAACACTTGTAACAGGTAAAATAATTTAACGTTCAGTACACAGGTATGGATCCATACGGAACAGAGGGGAGATCTCCTCAATATATTTGTACTGTACCTGTACTAGCAAATTGATCCCCTCCCAGAGTATATACCAATTTTCAAAAATAAAACATAGAAACGAATGCTGTACACAAGCAGTATACGTTATTTTGTATATCCACTCAGAATCTGACAGTGAGAAATTTTCTTACTTATTGTCTTGATTGAGTACTGGATCATCGGGATCGCCCGATGGTCCAGTACTCAACTAGTGCTGAGTATTATTCCTCGGTACAATTAGGGAGTGCATTAGCGCATTACAAGAAGGCAAAAGTATAAAAATAGCGTTACGTTCTTTACGTGCTACCACTCCAGTATAGATTTTACGTTTTCTTAACTATATTTACAACTCATAACTTAATCAAAACTGTTATCGATCTTAAATAAACAATATATATTAATTTAATTTACAATTACAAATCAGAAAATTCCCCACTTCACACGACATAGTATACAATACTTAAATTACATTTCATTCAATTACGAGGATTAAGTTAGAGGAAAATATTCGATTATCATTCGCGCGTATTAAATTGACCAATTCACTTGGAAAGCATCACATTTAGTACAATTATATCGAACAGGGACATCCTCGTATGTAGGAAATTGTTAGATATAACCGACAGAGGTCACTTTAAAGGGAAATGTTTTGAGAATTGAGAAGTGTCGAATATTTTCCATCGAGTCCAACAAACCGTCCTTTTATTTCTTATTTTTTATGCAAGTTAATGGAGATTTTCCTTAGGTGAGAATAAAAATGCACTTCTCGATACCTGACATGCAAGAAGTGAAAGATGACAATGGATCATCATACGTCGTAAGTTGAAAAATTGATTTGACAACATTGTAGGGTTAATAAATCACTTGTAAATGGAGCACAGATTGCACATTCCCTCTTTATATTTTCTGTTCTATTTAACACAATTGATACTATAATTTATTCAAATAATACTTTCTTCGATATGGATGATTCTTTTAAATTAATCTGTGTGTGTGTGTTTTTTTTTATGTGTACATTTCTACTGTGCAACACCCACCACAGGTTCATTTAACTTTATCAACATAACAATTATCAGTTTGTATTTGCACTTTTGAAAGTTAAAATGCATTTATATGTAAATGAATATGAAAATTAGCATCAAGGACATTTTTTGTATATTTATATATAAATTATTTTGCATATANACAGGTTTTTGTTTACTTTGGTTATCGTCGGTTTTGGTTTTAGTTGATTTTTTTCTGCAAAAAATTTGTCTTGGTTTTCATTAGTTGCCTCGGATTTTGTTGGTGTGCCAACATGACCTCACCACTAATTTTGTGAAAACAAAGGGCAACCCATGCATTTTCATGCTCAGTGTGGCGTTGTTTCTCATTGTGTGATCATTACTCCGCATGTCTAGCCAAACAGTTCCATTGCTTTCTTTTCCTTTTAGCTCCATCATGGGACCAAAGAAAGTTTCCAGAGCCAGCAGCTCATCAAATGGCATGTTAAATGTTCAATTATTCCAATTATTCTTTACATCAGTCTTTTATATTCATTTTATATTAATTTCTTATTGTTTTTAGTATTAAACACTATATTTATTCTCTATAAAATGTATTTTGGAGTGTCTAGAATAAATTAATCGGATTTACATTGATTCACATGGAAATAATTGCTTTGGTTTTCGTTGGTTTTGGATTTTGCTGATTTGTTTTTGGACAGATTATCAACAGAAACTGAGGTATCGTTATATTTGAATCTGTGTTTTGTTGACATAGAATTATGGAATTGTTATTTTCTAGATTTTCAAACTGCAAAATTCTTGGTACTATATTATAAAAATGGAAATTCACTTCTATTTTTAGGTAGTCAATTATTTTATTTACAGTCGGTAAAATGTTTTCAGCTGTCCAGCTTGTCAGCTGGACATCTATTGAAATGTTATAAATTGAATTCTATAATGTTTAGTTTGATGTTTCATTTCAAGAATTATCTGTAACCAAAGCTGACTTAAAAATGTCAAAAATGTTTTTATATATAACAAAATCTTTGACTACCTGATAAAAGTAGTGTGTATTTCTAAATCATTCAATATTTTCATTTTAAACTTTTATTAATTTTTGCAAATAAGTCTGCACTTACAGCAATTATTTAAAAAAATTGCTTTATATCTCATGAAGAGGTAATGTATATGCTATGTGTTTGTATATTTGAATTATTTTTAAATCAATATTTTAAAATTTTATAGTTTATACAATTTGAACTCATGATAGCTAATGAAATTAGGCAAAAATATTTATATAAAAATTTTATCAGTTTAGCATTGTTTAGCATGCTTTTTGTTTTCATGGAGTTTGGCATATTCTGAAACTTAAAGTTAGGTTTAGTTTTCCAAATTTAATTAATAGAAATTTTTTTAATTAAATGAAATAAATTAATTTCTGTAATACGTTTCTTGTCTAGTCTTGTGTTCAATTATACTAGCACTATGAAGGCTTTTCCTTTTTCACTAGACTTATTACACTGTCAGTCATAAATCATTTTCATCTTAATTATTGTCTTAGCAAATACCTGTTAATCAATAATTAGCATCCATATTGTATCCATCATCACAATTTCCTGTACTTCTCATAATCATGTAAGTTTAAAAATCTTTTACATATTTTGTAACATTGCAAAGTTTTTATGCTAACTTGTATGCATTATTCCCTAAACAGTTATATCACATGGAGTTGAAAAGGGACTTAATGTCTGAAATGCATACTCCTCAGGGAAATGAAGATATGATTTTTTAAAGTTTGTCCTCTTTCTGACTGATGGTGTAATAAGTGTAGCAAAAAAGGAAAAGCCATCATAGTGCTAGTATAATTAAATAAATTAAATTATAATTATAGTGGTACAGAAATTACTTTAAGTGAATTTTCTGGTGTACGATATAAAGCAAATCTCATAAAAATCAAGCAGCCTGATTTTATAAGACTTTTTACTTGTGTGTTCATTTAGAATATTCACAATTATTAAAATTCTTAATAATAATTAGAAAAAGGGTCATCCAATTATAAATTCAAAAACTTTATTTTGAACAAATAGTTACAAATGACTTGGTTCTGATTTTGTTGGTTAAACATTTTGTCATTTGTTGACATTTAGAAATAATTTTGGCTCTTTGTTATATTTTCTTTAATTTATTATATGTGAATAACTCGTGCATTATCTGTGTTTAAAAATCATTTTGTAAGTGGGTGTTGGCTATGTAACAAAGTGCTGATTTTAAATTGCAATTATTAACTTGTCCAACAGTTCTTATTTTGTCTAAACTTACCAAACATATCTAAAAAATGTGAAAAAATGAAGGAAAAAAAACACTTATTAGCCACACTTATTTTTCTGCCATTATGATGTTTCTGGAAATTACCAAAGATACATATTTTCGTATCTCCCCTTTAGTTCTCTGTTTTCTGCAATTCATATTTTGATATTATCTGTTATTTAACCTAGTATCTTGAAAGCTGATGAATTTCTGATCTATCCCCATTTAATCCATTTTTTATTTTTTTAAATTATCTAGAGAAACCAACTGTTGGTTTTATTATATTTTACTTTTTAACAGTGAATAAGAGCTAAGTGATCATCTCACAAATCTGTCATTAGATATTATAAAGTTATTAATGCAACTTTCTTAACAAAATCAACAATATTAACAGAAATTTCTTTATTTATCACTTTTTACTCCATGTCTATTAACTGTTGAGTGTTGAGAGCCATACCAGCTGTAATGCCACTTCAGAATCATCTCAACCCCAAGTGGCTTTACACCCACTACAGATATTATCAATATTAAAGCTGTTTTTATTTAATCTTATAGTATATACTATTATTTTTATTGTGTGTGTGGATTACATCTTACTTGACTAATACTTATTATTATTGTTTTCTATAAGTTTCTCTAGTCTTTTAAAATGTGTTTCCTGTAGTTTTTTTATATTTATGACTTTGCTTATATGCAATTATGAACCCTTCTATCTCTCCAAAGAGATATTTGTGAGTCAGCCAGCAGTTTCTCAATATAATCTTGGGTGAGATTTTTTTTTATTTAACTCCTTTCTCCCTGTGGGCAGTAAGACGGCCTTTTGAAATGGCTGGATAGTAAGGAATGGAACCTGGCATATCCAGGATGGACCACTCCCTGAAAAATACATATTGCATAATTTTCATTGTAAATATCAAGTAAGCAAAATAAATTGTTTTTAGTCTAATACTATTACAGAATGATTTTTAATTTAAATGTTTATGTTCTGCATTAAATAGATGACGAGGAATAATTTTTTAATTAGGAAAAAATTTGACTGAGAAAATTTTTAAATTTAGGCCAAGAGATCATAATATAACTGATATTCAGCCTATATTTTTTTTATCATGTTCCAGATCTAAGCTTTCAAATAGTGAAAAATGTCAAAAAATATTTTAAACTATATTCCATGACATAATAATTAGCTAATTATGCAATCACAGATCCAACAGAGATTGAAATCAAATGGAGCAAGGCAGATGTCATACAAAAGGTTGAAAATAGAAGACATCTAAAATATGTAGAAGCCTGGCACATTAACAAATACGAGAAAAAAGGGCAAAATATAAATTTTTCAGAATCAAACTAAAATAGCATCAGCATGGAAAGTGGCAGCATTACAATTATAAAAATGGACATGCGCAGTTGAATAGGAGAAGATTATAGAATGTACGTTTTTGAATTTTGCGTTTGGCAAATTTAAATTCTGTTAATTTGATCCTGAAGGTCTGTTAATCTGACCGAAAACATTTGATAAGTTTTTAAAATAGACTGCATTTTAAAAGTATTTGGAGTTTATTAATTAATTGAGTATAGTAATGCAGGTAGAGATATAATAATAATTAGTATTAAATTGCCTTCCAACAATTTTTTTAAAATGAATTTTCTATGACAAAATGTGATACAGTGGAATTTCTATATTTGTTAATCTTTATATTCGTAATATTTGCTATTCATCACATTTTGATGACTTTTTTATTTTTCCATATTTGTTGGTATTTTCTGTATTTATCGTTATTCCCAACACTGGAAGTGGCATTACAATTGCACGCCAATGCCACCAGATGTAGTTAATCAGTCTGCTTTGGTCATTGTGTGTGTTGTTGAGTTATTGAAAAATAATCAATGCGAGAAACCAAGTTCCAATCACTCCAAAGTTTAAATCGAGTGCTACTGAACAGTGGCGGGGCAAGACCTAAATTTGATGTGGGCAAGGTACATTTTGCAAGGCCCTCTGGTGGTGCAAGAAGACTGATTTTATAAAATAAAAAGAAGTTGAAACTGTCAAATTTTTATTCATAAAAATGCAAACTATATTCTTTGACTAACATTAAAGAAAAATTAAAAAAAAAAAATTTCCTGCTTTTAGCCTTACTGAACTCCTTAATAATTGTATCGTAATTCAGCTTAGATGCTATATATGCTTCAATAGATAAAACTACTAAAGCTGAAAGTCTTTCCTGACCCATTGTATTTCTTAAATAATTTTTTATTAGTTTTAATTTTGAAAGCTCCTTTCAGCATATGCAGTACTTACTGGTATTGTTAAAAAAATTCAAACGATGATGTAAATATTTGGGTAAATTTGTTTCAAGTTATTTTCTGTTACGTATTGGAGCAGCTGTTTCACATCTTTAATGAAGTTGGCTAAATTTGGGATCATTGTAATTCTTCATATAATTTGTAAGGTTGGAAGTCACTGCTCTCACCCACTTGCAGGACTGAATGTAAATCTTGACAGTTTTTTTAATATTTGCTTTTTTGG